CGAGGCCCCCCCCCCCCCCCCGCTTCGCAGGGGCGCTGCGGAGAGCTCGTTGGCTATTAGCTGGAGAGGGGCTGAGGAGGCGGGTTCTCCCCCTTGGGGCAGTTCCTATTGGCCGCGCTTTATTTACCACCGCGGCTTGATGCCGCCGCCGGCGGTCCGGACTGCATTTCCCAGCATGCCACGGGCCCCAAGCCCTGCGGCGCACGGCGGGATCTCTGGTGCCGCGTTGCATGCTGGGGGCTGTAGTCTTGGCTTCCACACGGCTGGCTCTGCCAGGTTCGAATCCCCTCTCAGGCGCCAACCCCCCGCCCCCTGTCCATTTCCCCACATCAAACCCCCTTGAGAAGGAGACTCCCCGCTGCTTCCCTTCATGCCAAGCGGCCCAAGTCCCAGGACATCAGCCACGTGCTCTGCCCAAGGCTGCAGCCATGGTGCTGGGCTTGCCATGAGGTTGGTGCCCAGGCTGGCATTGCTGCCCCAGCCATGTCCCCTTCCCTCAGTGTCTGGCCTCACTCCTCTCCTGCAGAGCCCCTACGCTCTGCCGGCGGGTGCCAGACGGGGAACTACTGCGGGGGAAGGGGAGGACGCTCTGTGTACACTAATTAGGCAAGACAGTCTCAAACTGGGCGAGACCATCCCTAACTGGGCAGGACAGTCCCAAAATTTAAAGATCAATCCTGGTCCCAGGCTGAACAACTCCGGAGCAGCATTTGTCCTGGATTCACACAATCGTGCAGGGATCTGGGTTTTCCATTCACTGCAGAAAGCCACGGGAAACGTTGGGTTTCCCCTTATCGGTGGGCAGAGGTCCTGCCTGTCAGGGGCTTCGTGGGGCAGGAGGAGCAGGGTGTAGGGGGTGCCACATGCTCGTGGCCAGCAACACAGCCCCAGGCTATGGTGGAGAGCAGCTCCCCCAGGCTGCCTTCAGGTGAGGCGGAAGGGGGCAAGATTGAGACCCCCACAATGAGGGTGCCCCAACAACACATAAATAGGGCATATTCCCTACAGAAGTCCACCCCCACCCCAGAAAGCATTTCCACCACAGCAGGACAGCCCTACCAAGGGGTCCCGTCCCCCCCATGCTGAAAGGCTGCCTCAAGAATTTGTTCCACCTGTAAGAAAAATGTAGGTCTACCATTGCAACTCTACAGTGAGGAGGTGGGGGGAAGCCTTGCCACTATCAATGGTGGTGGTGGTGATATGTCTTATGACAGACACCCCTCCCTAACAAATTCCTTTGCAGAGTGCTTAATGATGTGCCGGGTGCGCACGTTAGTACACTTCGCAGTAGTATCTGGAAAGGGAGCATATCACAAACCGTTCCCTTGCTCCACTTCCATGCCCAGTAGTCCTTGTGCTACACTAAGAAAGAGGCATAGTAGTCTCATATCAACAGGAGTGTGGAATGAGCACAGAACGCAGAGAGCCCCTCAGAACATAAGTGCAGGCAGAAACCTGGTCTCACACATCCATAAAACACCATACACACCGATAGGAGGTTAACACAATAACAACCACTTAAAACTTACATGCTATTTTACAGGATAGAGCACACTGTAAGCAAAGCACACTGTCCAGGTTGGAGAAAATTACTTATCTATAGGGTAATAATCATAGTAGTAGTAATGCTGCATCAGAGGTACTGCCAAGAGAGACTGCTTAATTTTTTCAAGTATTTGACTGCAGGTTTTAATATATTCTAAGCTCAGGGCACATGCAACTTATAAATGGATCTTATATACAAACATTTATGTACTTTGTGTGTCTGTTTTTAAAATTGCTGCCTACTACACACACACACACACACACACACACACACAGTCTTTGGGACATAGGGAGTAACACAATTCAGCCCCAAACTCCAATCTAATATTTTGGGCTCGTGTCCATCTACATTCTAGAGTGTCTTCAAAAAAAAACCTCAACTACCCTCCCCCCAATCACCACCATACAACAAACAAAAATGTATTTGGCATTTGTTTTAAACTGTAAAGGCTTCCCTAGACTTACCACTTAACAAATTGTTCACAGACCTTTGCTAATAGAACTTAAAAATAGAGTCTAGAAAATGATTGCTGGCACTTTAAAGGCACATTCTCATTCACCATCAGTGCATTTTAGTTTCCACCTTAGGTAGCATATGAAGGATTAGGATTTCAATGAAAGCGGAGAACACAATAAATTGCATCCTCCACCAAAGAACTGCCAGCCCTTTTCAGATGGGTGCATACCGTGAGCCCTTCCCATGTTAGTCAGCTTTATCTAAACCTTCCAAAGCAGTGTCTGTCCCTGAATTTCATGGGTTTCAGGGTCAGTCACAACAGAATTGTGGGATTGGCAAGGTCAGAGGCCATTTTTGTCAAAGGGTAGTGACCCTAGCAGCAAGAGGTAGCCTGACAAAAAATTGGATTCATTCTGGTGAATGTAGTTCTCACTGCTCTTCCCCCGCTGAGTCTTTTTTCTACCTGGTAATGAAAATACTGCAGAATTGTAGTGGAGATTTTATGTATGTATATATAAATCCTTTGGTCCCTGTCTCATTCTGTAATAACAGAATGGCATTATTAACATCATATTTGTTTATAAGGATTGGCTGCAAATACGAAAAAAAAGAAAAGGCAGATGACAGCTAAAATCTGACATTATATATTATATGGAATGCAGACTTCCCAGAGAGATCTGCAAAGCTGTACTTCTACTCAGCTACTTAGTCACAACAGCCGTTTCAGTCACTGTGGTCCAGGAAGAAAATTAATTAGTGGTTGAAGCATCTGACCTGTAATGTAGCAATAGGTTTCCTTGAATTACAGGTTAAACATCCTGGAAGCCTCAGTTCTGGCCTTCATCCTTCTAATAAAATGGATGTGTGGAGGTATTTTGGGAGAGATCCTCAAAACCAAGGTCCTGTCTAATCTGGGCATGCACTGAAGATCCTGTGGCTCTTTTTATAAAGGGCAGGGCTTTGTTGAATGTCCTTGGCCAAATTCCCTCTTTCCAGCACTGTTGTACTTAGGCTGGTTGCTTGTAGTCCTCTACCTGAGAGGTGATTGCATTTTATCTATCTACTTCCCTAAGTTTTTATAGGGCTTATATCACCATGGCATTTGAGCTTGTTCGTAAAATGCTACAGGGCACAAAGGGATAGTCTACAAAGGGATATTTTTCTTTCTCTCCCTTCCAGCCAGAAAGGACTGATATAACTGATATTTTGGAATTTATGTTGTCTAGCCCACAGATTCATTACTTTTGATTAGCAAAGCATCAATTGTTTCTTGCAAGTTTTACCTCAGTCCTGCTGTCATTGTATAGCTCAAACTGCCATCCACCAAAAGAAGATTTGGGCATACAGAATATTGCCCTTTTATTTGCTGTTCTAAGAACAAAATGACCTTGACATTTTCAACCTTTTTTTGGCATCATCCTTGTTAAAAAGGCTTGAACTTTTTATAAAGAGGCAAATCCGGCCTGCCTTAAGAAATACAATTACTTGAGTGAGCAAAGCCAACAGGAGTTGGCCTGTAAACTAAATGGACCCAATTTGGCAAAGGACTTTAGATATAGATATTCTCGATTAGGATAGTGGGGCATCCTGGGGTCTCGACAGATCCTTTGAAGAGTGTCATGAGGTGAGGAGATAAGTGACTGTGTAAGGAGATAAGTAGATAAGATAAACAGATATGTCAGGCTCAGGCTTGTCCCTTCCTGAACAATACTCTACCCACACTGCCCAGCCCCAGTACTATAAGGAAGTAAGTACTGGAATATATAAATTATTTTTTTAAATTGGGTGCCACTCAATCCACAAAAGTAATTGAGAGGTGCCTTGAGTTGGATGAGGCTGAGAATCACTGATATAAATATGGATATATACTACAAACACGCTGAAGTCCTTTGAAATCTGACTCTGCATGTATGCTGAAACACACACACGCACACGTAAGTGCTTTGCCAGCTAATTACATTTAAGATTAATCTTCAGAAGTCTCTGTGTTTAAACAAATTAAAATGGAATCTATTTAATTTCAAGGCCTTTTTTATTTGAGTGTGAAAATCCTTCATATATCTTGCACAACTGTACAAATAACACTTATTTCCATTTTAGCCATAAACATGGTTATCATCACACTGGGTGCTATCAAAGATTTTATTTACAAAACAATTACTAAAATGCCTGATGTCATATTTCCATTTATTTATTTCTTACCCATAGGGTAATAGGTCCACCATAATTGCTTGGTGCATTTTATAATACAGAAGGAAAACCTATGTTAATAAGTTCTAACAAAAACTTACAAATAGCTACAAAACTCACAGAAAATGTCTACGGAAAATTCTCCCAAAAATACAATACATTTTTTCCACACATACACAGTACAGAATAAGTTCAAAGGCACAGCTTTGAATTTTGTTTCTTGTAGAAGTGTATAGAATTATCATTTTATAAAGGAATCAGAGGAACCCAGTTTTCATACCTGTCAATAGGTAATGAAATGAGTAATTTGTTTTGCATTGTCACTTTTACATAATTGCTTAGTATCATATTTAACATATGTGGCTCTGAGTCCAAAACCTCCCCAGTCTTAAAGTCCCTTCTTAATCTTGCTGTTACTGACCAGAGCAGTTGTATTTAACCAGATTGTGCAAACTTAAAACAAATACATATATAATACGAACAATAGTCAACTTAAGGCAGTGAATAATTCAATGCTACACGTCTTCTTTTGTAAAGATAACACTGGATCAACAGAAAGGTGCATCAATATACAACGTTATGTGTAAACTGAAGCCTATAATAAATGCATACCATTTAAAGAGCTGAAAGGAGGAATTGTTAAGAACAAGTGATGACATGGCAGAATGTCTTTAAAGAATTCAGCAGTGGTTAAATGAAGAGCAGGTACCAGAGCTTTGCTTACAGTAAGCTTTTTGCCTTAATTCAAATTATAAATAGATTGCTCTCTGGCACTATTCTTTAAAGTCTTGTTAACATTTGTCAATGGGGGAGTAAATGGCTCATTGAAGCTGACACCATACAAAGAGTAAAACCACTGGACAGAATTTTATAAAAAAGGCACAGCTTGGCCTGCACGATACTTTATAGTAACAATTAAATCTTGTTTGCTTACAGGAATACTGTCAAACTGGTCTGCCATATGTCCAAGTCCAAGACATCCAGGATCTAGTCCATCTTCATGTCAATTAAAGAATGTCCAGGTGAAGTCTCATGTAATATAAAGTTTTTATTAAATAGATGGGCCCATGCTATACCAGTCATTTTCATTTAGCCCATCCTGTAGTGGCTTCTCCATTGATGTAGGCAAAGCCAGGAAAGTGTTGCATGTGCTCATATTCAGAATTTCTGCGAGTGGTCAAGGGCGTGTACATGTCACTAGAGTTTCCGTATCTTGTGGAGTGCATGGTTGGACTTGTGTAGCATGAGTTTGCTGATGGGACTTCTGGCCAGCGAGGAGTTACAGGGGTTGGATGCAGTCTTGGGGTACTGCTCATCAAACAGGGCTCCATCCTGGATGTTGGGCTATTGAAAGGATACTTAGAAATAAAAAAAAATGGAAAATAATGTTAAATATACACATAAAAAAAGCAACACCAGAAATAGGATACTTATGCCTTTACTGTAAAGGTTAAGATCAGTAAGTTAAAACACCTTCAGCAACAACATACTCTGGTAAATTCTCATATAGCATTCTCAGCCATTAGTATCCTGAATTGTTTTGGACCAGTGCAGGCTAACCTTTTTTGGAAGGCCTGCCACAAATTAAGCCCCACACCCTCCCTGAGTGCCACTCTGATCTCCTTTCTCTGCTCAATCTGCTGCTCTATTTTCTGTTCCCTGACTGATCTGCTGTGCGTCACACATAGAGGCTGCAAGTGCCACTTGTGGCATGTGTGCCACAGGTTGGCCAATCCTGTTTTAGAGGGTCAACTGTGAACCAAAGGGGAAAAAAAACTGAATGTTGAAGAGACCTAATCAACTTGATTAGCCATTGTCTTACATTATATGCAGTCATTTACACCAGGGTAACATGAGTCTTCTGTGCTACTACTCTGGTGGTTTCACTATATAAGGTTTCAGGGCAGTGTATCGGGCCTAACTGCATTCAGGAAGCAATTCTTTCTACCTGGGAAGTTAGTACAGTTAGACTGTGAAGCAAACCAAAAACTGGGGCTGGGGTGTTGGAGGGGAAGGGAGATTTGGCTTGGATATGTCGTGGAAAGCATTCCTGGGGGAAGCAAGACAAGGAAAAGAGAGTGTGCTAGGGATAAGAACATAGGCAGACAAGGTTCTTTAGGTGAATCTGATATCTTTTATTAGACCAACTTAAATAGTTGGAAAACAATTATTAAGCAAGCTTTCAGGTTCAAAAACCCTTCGTCAGGCTAAGGAAGTTTCAGCAGTTGGTGTATGCTCTTCCTGGATGGAATGAAAAGATAAGGGATAAGAACAGACACTAAACATAAAGAGACATGGGAATAAGCATGCTGGAGCAGACAGCAGTGGAGAGAAAGTATTAAGGAAAGTGTTAGGATAATGAGAGAAGAAAAGAGGCTGGAGATTGTGCAAGGAAATAAGAGGTTTCTCAGCCTTAACACATGAACGACGTGTGACCCCGGCAGCTGGTGGGGCACGGCAGTACGCGGGAGCTCCCACAGATGCCAACAGTGCTGACGGCAGCAGGGGGGTGATAAGTGCTGACCAGGGGGTGGCGACCACCCTCAGACACCGCCGGTGCTGTCAGTGGTGGGGGGGGAGGGAGGTGGCGAGCGGCAAGTGGCAACTTTTTGTAGAGGACACACCACCACGCTCAGGGTGCACGTGCACTCATGTGCACCCCCTATGCATTGCCCTTGCCTTAACACATGCATTTCATACTCCTGAATGCTATGCCATTATTCAGCAAAGACAATCAAAAAATAGCCATGCTGCACATAGACCTCAACTGTTATTTGCACAGTCATGGAAGTGAAATGTTAAGATTGTATGCACTTTCAGAAACTGCTCCTGCAATCTGGTCCATCTGAATGGACTTATACCAAATTGAGTTCTACTAAGGACAAGGAGGCTCTCCAAGGATGCCAGAGTCTTCCCAAGTGGATCATACATCAGGATCACAGCCTAAATTTGCACCTGCCAGCATTTGAAAGTAAAAGTGCTTGCCTGCTTATTCAATCAAGAAATGGAAACGAAGTCATGTGACCTGGCTAACCAGTCACAACTGTCTGAGAGAGTTTCCACTTCAAAGGTGGAGTATTGAATATGATTGCAGTCAATCCCCAGCATAAGAACAAGTTTTCAAAATATAATTTAATTCAAGCATCAAATATATTCAATGAAAGTGCTATTTGCTGGAGAAAAATAAGCTGAATTTCTCAGATGCACTTTTCTCACAGCTCTAACAAAAAAAGAGACCCATTACTATCCAGTCACTTCTGTGAACTGCTTTTTTACGCACCTAGTTCATTCACCTGCATCCTGAAGAAAGGCAAAAATGTCTAGACCAGTGGTTCTCAACTTTTTTTGTACTGGGACCCATTTGTGAACATGGATGGCCAGTCCTGACCCAGTGCCCCTCACTCCTTGTCTACTGTCCGCTGCCTCCAGGCCCCAGCCCCCCAGTGTGTGGGGTAGGGGTGGGGCTGGGGGCTGGGGTGGAATTCTGCCAGCCTGCAAGGGAAAAGCCACAGTTTCCCACGTTTTTCTCCTTTAAAGGAGAATCCATTTTTAAAGTTTGTTGATCCATTTTTAAAGTCTGTTCATGACCCTTTCATATATTCTTGCAAGCCAGTTTTGGGTCGTGACCCATGAGTTGAGAAATGCTGGTCTAGAGGACCATGTTTAGAGGAAGGGTACTCATCCCCTTAAAAGTTGACAAGTCAGCCTCTGCAGAAAAAAGCACTGTCAACCTAAGTGCAGGGGTTATTGAATGACTTGTAAAAATAGGCAGACCAGAGAGATGTGAAGAAGAATCTTTCTGTTCACCAGCTGTCTGACATGAAAGTTGGAAACTGGGGACAAGAAAGGATGGCTATCTGTCTCATGTTAAGGAGAAGAGATGCTGAAGGCAGGATAGAAAGGTAGAGTCACATTTGCTTTTTCTTTATAATGTGAAGCAGCGAGCAAGCCAAGGTCCATGTAGTGATATAAATGAACTTTGTCCTTGTCATGTTAGACATTTGTTCTTTTATTGCCAAACTGTTGAAAATAGAAAATTAATTCTCTTGGTCTGTGAAATGGACCATGTCATTTCATTATTCTTTGGTTATATTGGGTTGGGCCTAGGAGCCTCAGTCATCAACAAGGCCATACATCTTCCCATTTTTATACTTCCTTGCTGACCAGACGAAGTATTTATTGTGAGTGCTTTTGTGCAGGTTTCGGGGAGATCTGTAGAAACCTCCAAAACATTTTGTTTTGTTTTCTCTATACATAACAACAGTACCGTTTTAAGGGTTTTTTTTTTAAATCTTGGCCAAGCAGCCCCACTGAGAATTTCCTCTCTCTGCTAGTTTTGCAGGGGTGAACGATACTGGGCTTGGCACTGCAACATTTTAGATACTGGAAAGCTGTCAACATGCCAGAATGTCATTCTTCCTTAACTTTAAACGGAAGTCATTCCAAAGGAAGAGACATAGCCTTTTCTGAGGAAGACGGTTTTCTTTAAAACATGGCAGCTGCTGGTAGCTGCTCAGTGATTTAGAATGATACACAAAGTCCTAGGGAGATGAATTAGTCAATGACAACAGAAGAAGAGGTCAAAGGTGAACGGTGCTTTCATTTAACACCTCTCATCTCCATACATGTACTTATAAATTATTATATTACCCAATTTCTAGTACCTTTGTTTAACAGAAAACTCAGTGCAGCTTTGCCTTTGACTTCAATAGGGCCAAGCTTTCATCCTAAAAGACGCAATTTTATTTTCTGATAATAATACACCAAATATCTCCTGCCTTTCTTCCCTATATTCTAGGCAACTTTCCCTTTTGCTAATCAGATTAGGGCTTGACATGCTACAATTTCCTATTGGAATTTGTAATGCCAAGACTACGGTTTAGATCAGGGAAGTGACCTTCTTGCATGTACACCCCCAGGCAAATCCCCTCTGCCACCATGACATTCTGCCATATACAGCAAGATTCTGAAGCTTCAGCCATACTCAGCTGGATGGTCTCCGGGGTAACTTCACAGGAGCTGCTGTTTATGCCATATCATCATTTAGGGGAGAGAGAGAATTTAGTTCACTTGGCCAGTGGACATATAAAAGAGATGACAGTCTTGAATTTAAGCTTTAAGTTTCCCAGAACGATCACCATTATGTATTGAAAGAGAATGTTAATCTGGCACCTTACTCTCAGTTAGTATGCCACACTGAGGTCCATAAGAAAGCAAGGACTAATGACGGAGTGTAAGAGGACAGGATACAGTGTGCTGCTTTTCTGTGCAGTCAAATACCCCAGACACAGCTGTGTTTATGAATGTGTCATGAATATAAAAAGAATAATTGCTTGAAAATAATATGGACTCTAAATATCTACTATTTTACAATAAATTCTGTTATGACTGAATCCAACATGGAAAGTTTTGTAATGGTAGGTCAGCTAATTGCAAATGAGTCAGTGACTTCTTCTTCCCTACAGTGAAGAGACCATTGAAAGACAATATTTTTAAAGTGCCCATTGGCCCCTGCCTGACTATTAACTCAACCAATGAAGCATCTATTCAGCCTTGTTGGAGTGTCCAAAGCATAGCCATCTGCGCGGATGCCTGCCCATGCTGCCTGAATCACCTTTCACACTTTACATCCGGTTTAATGAAGAGTGCTTAAGCATGCTGAACTCAAAACACTGGGGCCTAGTGATCTTTGCCAGATATAAAGGCGACATTTGTTGGAGAGCTCTTGACAGGAAATTACCATTTTCTGGGTTAACTCACGCTTGCTGCTGCTACTGCTGTTAAAACTAAACAAGAAACCCTTTAAGTGTGGGTGACTTTAAGCTGATTATTGCTAAGGCCTTGCCCAAAATGTAAAATTAACTCAATTTCTTTTAGTATTATTTTAGAAAATACGACATTAAGAGTCTCCTCCCACCAATGAAGTCTGAGTTCCTTCAGAAGAGAATGAAGAATAATCTCTTTATTCTTATCCTTCCAACTAGCCGACTGATTATGCAAGGAGGTGAAAGGTGTCTCTGTCCAAACAGCAAAATGTTTTCCTTATAAATGTGGCTCTAACTTTATGCTGCACTAGCTCATGCTTTTGAAATGTATTGCAAGCCATTCTTATACACATCAAATTTCACCTCTAAGATTCACAAATACCTACTCCAAAGTTATATCTGCTTTAAAGTTGTGGTTATAAATTAACTTTATGGACATTTATACCTGTAACGATCTCAAGACTTTTATTGCTAGTGCCTTTTTAATGCTAGATATGGCTGTTTTCTATACAGAACTAGGTTTGACTTCCTTTGGCCAATCAAAGATATAAGAAAAAAAAATGACAAAGTGATTTAAGGGCTTTTGAAAATGG